GGGGTGTGATGGTAACTAGGCCGGCGGCGGCGGTGGGGCTGCTCAGGGCTCTCTGGGGTCCGCTCTCCGCTCCCGCTACCGATCGAACTAGCGAGAATGGCGGGACGGGCGGGATAAGCCCTGCGATCGACCCGCCCTAAGCATCGTTCACTGGTTAGGAGTGCTGTCAATCTGGCCACCTGACCCAGTTCCTGACTTGTATTGGCTAAGACTTTATCACTCCTCCATTTTCATTGGCTCTTAGGCGGCTAATTCGGCCGACCTACAACCGTTCCTGCCTCCGCCGCCGCCATAGAGACCGGAACTAGAAATAGCCACCACGAGAACCATAGAGTACCCGAGAGGACGAGCAGAGAGAACATGACTTTCACGAGGCTGCAGCTTGGACGTGTAGCTACACGTCCAGGGTCGTGTCTTGGTCATAGGAAAGGCACGGCCAAATGCCTGAGCCGGTATGACCCGGTCACCGAAGGGCTTTCCAAGCCCCTCGACACCTTAGCCCCATGTAGAGAGAAGGCCGCCTGCCCTCCCTGCTCCGAAGACGGTCCTTGTGACCTCAGACCATTACTGCGAATGAGAGCCGTCTTTTCTACAATGGCCCTGTACCCCCTGCACAGCCGAGGGTTTCCGAAACAGACGTAAACAGACGCATTCAAAGAGCGTCCGCTTTCGGCGGAGCAGTCACCTTGGAGGGACCAGGCGGGCTCTGAGGCTGCCCCTGCTCAGCATATTTAGGGCGGAGGGCGGGCGTGTTCCACGAGGACCTGCTCTCCCATCCATCTTACTAGGCTCGTATGGAGCGGCTTAAGTATTCACGGTTTTTTGTATTGTCCACAAATCAGACTTAATTTCAAATCACGTTTATTGAGCAAACTAGTAATTTTCCTTGCATCTTATTCTTACAACAGCCACGTGAAATAGGGATTACTATCCGCGTTTCACAAACGATTTATAATTGAGGCTGCCACATGCTGTGGCTGAAATCCTCCACTTTCACTCCTTATTAAGCGTCTAAGATCTGGGGATGGACTAGTTCGCCAGTTTCTGCCTTCTGAAATTCAGTCTAGGGATGAAGGTAGAAATTTAAACACCCAACACTCCAGGGTTGCAAAAGCACAGAGCATTTTGGGAGTGGAAGTGGAGGTGGAGTGCTGACTCCAGGCACATGGAGGTTTATGCAAGGCCTACAGGCAAGAAGATACGGGATCTGGGGAAAAGGCAAGTCAAGTCCAATTAAACTAGAATGGCAGGCATTGGGTTATAGAGGTAGGTAGGGTCAAATTAGGGATATTTTATTGGACATTTATCCTAAGGGCAATAGTGATCAAGGTAATTTAGAGTTGTAGGTAGGGAGTGTTTTTTTTTTGTTTGCTCTTTTATGGCTGCTGAGTGGAGAATGGGTTGTAGACGGGCAGAAATGGAAGTAGGCAAAACAGGAGGCTGGTACAGTAGTCCTTGCCCCATAAGTATCATCCAGAGCTGTCAATTCCACTTTGTAAAGGCCTCCCTGAATTAGTCCTAAAAATCTCTTATCTCTTCATTTCTACTGCCACTATTCTAGTGTAGGCCATCATCATCTATTGTTTAGAGCAGAACTAGGCAAACTTTTTCAGTAAAGGCTGGATAATAAATATTTTAAGCTTTGCAAGCCAGACAATCCTCTCTCAGCTACTCAACTTTAGGGCCTGAAAATAGCCATAGATAATCAGTAAACAAGTAAACCTGTGTTCCAAAAAACTTTATTTATGGACACTAAAATTTGAATTTCATATAATTTTTATGTCATAAAATATTTAGATTTTTTTCAACCATTTAGAAACCACTCTTATCTCACAAGCCATTGAAAAATATGGAGTGAGATGATGGCCTGCCAACTGTAGTTTGCTGATGGATGGCTTAGAGCACTGCTGTGGCCTCCTGGCCTGTCTTTCTACCTTTCTTAGTTTAATATTTTCCACAACATCAAGAGTGTTCTTTAGAAAACATCTATGTGATTATGACACTACCTTATTTAAAATCTTTCAGTGATTGTCCAAATTCCTTAATGTGACTTACAGGACTGCCTACTTCTCTAAACTTATCTCCCACTTCTCTTTCCCTTTCCTGGTCCAATCTTCCAGGTGATGGCTAGCCATTGCTTCCTTTGGGCTATCACTTGCTGTTCCCTCCACTTGTAACACTCTGCCTTCCTCCCTTCTCCTTTGCCTGCTTAACTCTTCATACTTTAGGACTTGTCTTAGATGTTACTAGGTTAAGAGACCCTCCTATCCTAACACTATATTGTATTAATTAAATCTTCCCAGCCAGAATATGAATTCCTTCAGCATCTGGCATAGTACCTGAGACACAATGTCTTAATAAATTTGTTAAATGAACGAGATGGTGTAGAAAATGGATTGGAGGAGGAGGTATTACAGCAGAGAGGTCATCTGGGCAGCCACGGGGGCTATTCCCGATGAAAAAGGCTTGCAGCAGCGATGTATATGGAGTAGGTGGATTCTAGAGCTGCTATTCCTGTTCCAGCTCTAGATGACTTTTGACTGCTAAAAGTTTCCTCACAAGGCAGTTCTGCCAACACTGAGGGCATTCAAAGGTATGCCCTATAGGCTTGAGAGCTTTTCCCAAAGTGGAGTTACAAAGACAGAACAATGGCAGCAGCACCTCTGAGAATAAGTGACCAACCTTCCCTATGTAACTGCTTTGAAGAGATGGCTCCTCAAGCAGAAATACAAATTCTGTAACATTTGCCTTTAAAATGTTACTTAAAAGTATCATTACTTACACATCCAATCACTTCACTAAGCTCTCTCATGCTGAGTGGACATAAAGATGAGCTATTTTCTATTAGTTTTCTTGTAGCCACCTCTCTACCACTGCAGAGGTGGTTCTGAAGCACTGGAGGGTAAACCATTCATGCCAAAATGCACCTCCTATTTCAAGGTGGGAGCTCTCCATCTACAGTTCTGTTAGTCCCCCTGCCACCCTGAGAGCTCACACCGCCCAGCATGGTGACCACAGTTCAAACAACTCCAGTGCCTACCTTTAAGTGATGTGAAAGGCAATAAAGGGGGTTCATTCCAAGAATCTCCTTTGCAAAATAACTTTCACCTTGTCCCCCATCTCTAACAGACTTTGGCCCAAGAACCCAGTTCCCTCTTCCTGGAAAGCCCTCCCCACCCTTAGCTCCTGGTTAATTCCAATCTGTCAATACTTACCTCAGATGTTACTTCCTCCTCTCACCCGTCTTTCCACTCCACTCCTGTAGCATCTTCTACATACCATTATCATTCACACAATCAACGTTTATTGAACACTAACTAGGTATTCGATGTTTATCTCTTCTAGGTGCTGGGGACACAGCAGTAAAACAAAACAAAACAACTGACCAAATTTCCTGCCCTAAAAAGGGCTCACATTCTAATACTCACCACGCTGTACCGAAACTGTGCCTATCTCCTGTCACAAGCATGGGCCACATCTTACTCATTTTTGCAGCTCCAGTGCCTGGGACAGAGACTGGCATAAAATATAGGTGCCAAGTATAACTGAATTCAACTGAATGGACCATTACAAGAATCTCAGCTCAGGATCCCAGCTGGTGTCCTCCTTCCTATCTTTAGTATCCATCCTGCATAGTCACTTGATCACAGTTCTTTCTTCACAGTGTCCCCTGAACCCTGTTTACTTGGCTATAGAGTTGCAAATACCTATACTCTAGGTCCCTTGTATATTTCACCATCTCCCTTGTCCAGCCAATACATTGAAATGGCACTTTTAACCAGGTTCTACTGTCACAGAGTTCAGCTCTCTGCTATCTCTGCTACTGCAATTGTCTGCTGCCAGCGGTTCTGAGTCATCCTATCCATGAGCCAGGAGAAAGTAGAAATGGGAGAACATAGGCATGGCCTCATGAAAGGAACACCAGGGAACTCCTTACCTCTTGAACATTACACTGAGTGGAAACTTTTCCTATTGGGTTGTTTCCTTTCAAAACTAACATTTGAAAAGCACGTTACTATTTACAAGTTACCTTCATATCCATTCTATTTGACCCTTTCAATGGTGCTACGAAGTAGACAGGTATTATTATCCCCATTTTACAGATGAGGAGACTGAAAGGGGCAGTGAACTTCTCAAGACCTCAATTGTTTTTAAAAAATGACCCAAGGTTCAAACCAAGGTTTTTGACTAAATTATTCCCACTTGATCATGATCAAGATACATTTTACCCAAAGGTATTCCATCTAAAAATATCCCAAGTTAGTGACCCTCTTCCCACAGACTTCAGAACCAAAATGAACCTACTACTGGGAACATCCTTGGAATACATAGCCCTGGGGCTTTGTCTTCTTTGATCATTCATCTTGAACCAAAGAGGGGGCTGCCACAACTGCTAATAAATTTGAGGCATCAACTATACATAGCAAGGTTTTGGCTCTGGTCCACACTGGCCTTGCAGCTAGCAGAGCCAGTCCTCCTAGCTGAAGCTAAGGTGTGAGAAGATGGGGCTATCATTACAACACATACTAAAACAAAAAACCAAAAAACCCCAAAAAACTTTATTTACAGTTGAAAAGCACAAAAAATCCTGAGTTCTGAATTGTGATACTTCCAAGGTCTCTTGATCAAATAGGGTGACAGCAGGCCAGGAAGCAAACATGGGCCAATCCAGATTATCCTATTCAAGAGCATCCCCCAGAGCAAGGGCAGGCTTACGACGACAGAGATGTGGAGGTCTGTAAGGGATGGAGGAGATAAGCCACTCAGAGGACTGGAAGGGGACTTTCCGCAAGACAACATTCCCACCTATCCTTTATGCTCCTCTTCCCAAAAGAGCAAAACAGGTCTGATTCTTGCCACAGGCCAGACTTTTGGTTCTCCAAAGCAAAGCTGAATAGTATATCACACAAGAACCAAGAAGAAAAGAAACTAACACATACCGTCAAGCATATTATCTCATTATTTACCCTTCACAACTCTGTGCAGTATACATTGTACAATTAAGCAAAGGAGAAAACTGGGTCCCAAGGGGTTCAATGGCTTGACTGTGATGGGGCTCCCTGATGTGCTGGCTCCAAAGCATGTGTCTTCCACCAGAATCTGGCCCTCTGTGGAGCTGTAGAACAAAGAGCGATCCTCCTCACTTGCAGGTTTTGGTCCCAGGGTTATACAGAAAGGAAACTCCACACCCTCTGTTTATGACTGCGGAGTTAGCTGTACTGAAAGAACAGGGTGAGTACACTCAGACACTACTGTTCCCCTCCCCCCAAACGTGGTAACTCCCCCCCACCCCCCACCAGGACAGAGACTCCTGGTGTCATACTGAAGGCTCAAAGAGGAGTTTAACTCTGGGCCCTAACACAGAAGTACAAAAATGTATAAATGCACTTATAAGTTGCATGGTGCTCCAGGACCTAAGCTCCACCATAGACCAGGCACTGTGTTAGTCAGCATGGTCCCTGCTTCAAGGACTTCTCAGTTTAGAGAAAACCAGACAAAACACATTTGTGCTAAATGTTGTAATAGAGAGATGAACCAAGTACTAGGCCAGGGAGGAGGAGATGGAGGGACCAGGGACTGATTCAAACTGATGTTGGACACATGCTCCTGGGAGGGGCTGGGAGGAACTAGGATTAGTTAAAACTACATATATACAGTATGTGTTTGTTATAAGATACATGATTAATAGAGGAAATTTATGCATATACAGGACAATATAAACTGAAAAGAAAGTCTCTTTGCTATCTCTACAGAGGTAACCATTATTAATAGTTGGCTATATATCACTACAGAAATTTCTGAAATAGTTATTCAAAATAAATAGTATTGTGGCTTATATAATGTACTATACCTTGATGTTGTCACATAATTTACCTTAGAAATCTTGCCAACACATTCAGATTTACCTCTTTCTTTTTAAGGCTATATAGTATTCTATTGACAGATGTACCTCAATGCGTGCAAGACCTGGTTCCGACATAGGGAGCTTTGCCTTTGTGCAGTCATGCACCACGTAACATTTCAGCCAACAATGGACCACATGTACAATGGTGGTTCCCCAAGATTATAACAGAGCTGAAAAACTCTTATCACCTAGTGATGTTGTAGGCACTGTAATGTCTAGTGCAAAGCATTACTCACATAATTATGATGATGCTGGTGTAAACAAACCTACTGCACTACCCATCATAACAAAGTACAGCACATAAAATGATATACAATAAAAATGACAATCCATGACTGGTTTATGTATTTACTATACTTTTAACCGTTAGAGCGTACTCTTTCTACTTAGGAAAGTTTGCTGTAAAAGTGTGCTGTGGTTCACCAGCAGCATCTCATGCTCACAACATCTCCTGATTGCATCATTTTCTCTTGTGCTTGATTTAGTCTCGTGCTGTTTTAGAGATTTAGTGTAGCCTAAGTGTTCAACGTTTATAAAGTCTACAGCAGTGCACAGTAATGTCCTAGGCCTTCACATGCCTCATCACTCACTTCCAGTGCAAGTGGTAAGTGCCCCATACAGGTGTGCCATTTTTATTTATTTAATTAATTAATTAATTTTAAAACATATCTTTATTGATTTCAGAGAGAGGAAAGGAAGGGAGAGAGAGAGAGAAAGAAACATCAATGATGAATCATTGATCGACTGCCTAGCCTGCAACCCAGGCATGTGTTCCAACCAGGAATCGAACCCCGATCTCCTGGATCCTAGGTCGATGCTCAACCGCTGAGCCATGCCCGGCTGGGCCAGGTGTGCCATTTTTAATCTTTTATACCATATTTTTACTGTACCTTTTCTATGCTTAGATATGTTTGGTGTACAACTACTTATCGCTGTGTGACAATTGCCTACAGTACTCAGTACAGTAACATGCTGTACAGGTTTGTACAATAGGCTATACTATACAGCCGAGGTGTGTAGTAGGCTAGACCATCTAGGTTTGTGTAAGCGCACTGTGATGTTCGCACAACAAAACTGCCTAATGACACATTTCTTAGAATGTATCCTTGTTGTTAAGTGGCATGTGACTGTACTGAATTGCACTGGAATGGTGCCTGACATTCTCCTCCTCCTTCCCTTTTTAGCTGGCAGGGCTTCTGACTTTCAGGGCAGGGAACAAACAGTGTCACACACCCAACAGGAATGTAAATATTTGCTGCCAAATCTCTACTGCTCCCAAGACCCATATTTTCATGGGGAGACTCCCTTCTCTTGCTTGGGCTACTGCAGTGGATACCTCACTGGCCTCCACCCCATCCTCCACATTGCTGCCAATCAACTTCTAAGAAAATTCAATCAGTGTTCTCTTGCTCAAAATCCTTCAGTGCTCCCAGTGGCTTGATTCTTTGTGAAGGGTCGGGCCCCCTTTTGAGAATTTCAGGAGCACCCCAGGGAGGAGAAAAATGTATGTACTGCCTGAAGCCAGCCCTCACTCTCAGGATAACACAGGAACTCTTCAGCCTACACTGGTTCTCACAACTGGCCCTGGCCTCCACCAGCCTCACCTCTTACAGTTTGCTTTTCCTACCTTCCTGCTTTGGCTGTACTGAATTATTTGAAGTCTCCCATACACTTCCTGCTGTTTCCCACTTCTGTGCTTTGTTTATGCTGTTCCCTCTGCCTGGATTGCCCTCCTCAATTTCAGCCACCTGACAAGTTCTTATTCTTTCATGTACTCAGCTGAAGCATCATCTCTTCTGCAGTTTTCCAAACCATTCCAGGCAGACACAGGTATTTACACTTTCCTTACTTTCCTAAACCGTCCAGTCCAGTGCTTTATTGTACTGTAACTGTCAGTTTCCCAAGACACTGTGAGTTCCTTGAAGGCAGGAACTAGGCTTTTCAAATTTGTAGCCTCATATGCAGTATGGGACCTAGTTTTGAAATTTATTTTTCAATTATAGTTGACAAACAATATTATATTAGTTTCCAGTGTACAGCATAGTGGTTAGACATTTATATACTTTAGGAAGTGATCACCCAGCATGGGACGTATTTTAATTAATTAGTGCTGAGTTCTGAAGGACCAGCCCATGTGCCACCAACATGTCTTTCATAACCTTTCTCTGCAGGCATGTATCATATCTACAGGTAGTCACAGAATGGAGGATAGTGCTTCCTGAATCTCAGTCATTCCAAATGGCTCCTTCACAACTATCAGCATATCTACCATCCACAGGCACAATTAATTTTAACCTAATCACTATTTGAACTTCAATAATGCCTCATTATAAGCTGTAATAATTGTAAAATTATGTGTTGTGCTAATTATATATTTTTTCCTCAGATGCAAATGTTAAAATAAAAGATATTCATTCCAGGGCTACCTGTTCAGAACCCCTCTCACTGTGGTAGGAGCTTCTGTCACTCTTTCAATAAACTTTTGCTTTCACTTAAAAAATTAAAATTAAAAAAAAGATTCATTCCAGTACCACTAAAAGCAGCATCACCCACATTCCTCAGATGTACACCAGGGATGCTTGTTACAAACATAGAATCCTGGGTCCCACCTTTAGCTCAATTAAACTCTCCAGGGGAGGGATCTGGGAATTAGGTTTCTCAAATGCCCCCAAGTGATTCTTCTCTTTAGGGAAATTTGTGAAATGAACTAAAGAAAGTTCTCTACTGCTTGCCACAAATACCAGGTTTGGGGATGACAGGTAGGTGAGCAGCAATTCAGACTAGCAGGGCTGCCAGAGCCACCAACCACTCCCTTTTCCAAGAGACTGTTAGGCTTTCAAAACAGAGGTTCCACCAACCCACATGTGATTACAAGTAGCAAAGAACACAGTTCAGACTATGGCAGGAGAATCCTGAGGGCCAAGATTCATCCATGTATCCATGACCAAATTTATCATAAAAAGTTTTCATAGGACCCCAAGATAAAAACCAAGGTTTCTACATCCAGAGCTGTACAGAAAGCTTCATTTTGGCTAAAACCAAAGTCAGGATCTAAGGCAAAACACAAAAGAGTTCTAAAAGAAAGTGCTTCAGCTCAGTTGGTTAGTGTCGTCCCAATACGCCAAGGTTGGGGCTTTGATCCCTGGTCAGGGCACATACAAGAATCAACCAATAAATGGACAAGTGGAACAACAAATCATGTTTTTCTCTCTCTCCCTCTTTCTAAAAATCAATTTAAAAAAATCTTTAAAAAAAAATAAATAAAATTAAAGTCGGTCCCTCAGTCACATCAGCCACATTTCAAGTGCTCAATTGTCACATGCAGCCGGAAGCTTCCATAACAGCACAGATATAAAACATTCCCCCATCGCAGAAAGGAATGCCCACTGGACAATTCCAGTCTAGAGGGCTCTGGAATGGCGAATGGCCCCCATGGAATCTCTTCTGCTTGGGTTGCGGGATGGGAAGAGGGGCTCTCACAGGAGCAAAAGTTTACATGATCTTTGCTAACAGTGCGTGAGGAAGGAAGGGTTGATGATCGCCACCCTCAGCAATCAAACCCTCAAGGATTTCTAGTAACTTTCTGTAAGAGACTCAGAAAAATAGAGAAAAGAGGTCCCAAACATAATTTCTAAACTTTATTCTTTTTATCTTCTGCTCTCTGGTAGGGCTCAGCGGGTCAATCTTTAGAAGGAAAAGGATCTGAGTTCAACTTCAGTTACAGCAGGGAAAGGAGGGGAAATGGAGGGAACGGCCAGCAGCTACTTAAGAGGGAATACAGGTTGAGCCCTAGGGGCCCCCAGTCCTGGCAGAAAGGAAAGCTCAGGTGTCAACTGGGTGTGAGAGGGGACCATCTGGCTGGAAGAGTGAGAGGTCCTTGTGCAGCTTCCAGCACACACTTGTGCATTCTTGCCTCAGCATTTGCTCACACCAGTTCCCTGCCTAAAATGCCTGACATTCTCTCTCTCTCTTAACTCATGTAACCAAATTTTACTGAATGCCTATAAGTGCCAGATGCTGTGAACACAAAGTCAGTCACAGATAGAGATATAAACAGTCATTAAAGTGGTCTGGAATTTGACTAGATCTCTACTTGGGGAAAAAGGCAGAATTCAGAAAAATAAATTCTAGATAATTCTGCAAGTATACAAATAAAACTAAAGGAATATTAGAAAAAATACAGAAGACATTAGGATCTGAGGTCGTAAGGAACTTCTTAAACAACATAAAACACAAATGCCATAAGTGAAAGACTGAAATTTTGACCTCATCAAAATTTAGAACTTCTGTTTAAGAAAGAATATAACCAAAGTTAAAATAAGCAACACACTGCCAATTTTTTCTTAAATATATTCTGGAGAAAATAGTCACAACATATAAAGAACTAAGACTCAGAATGTATAACTATTCAAGTCATTAAGAAAAAGGAAAAATAAACTGTATGCTACAAACATCTTACAGAATATTGTCTGTTTTTTTGTTTTGTTTCTTTTTAATGAGGTAGTTTTACTTAAATGAGGAGGAAGTCTTCAAGACATAATGCCAGCCCGGCTGGGCGTGGCTCAGTGGTTAAAGCGTCGACCTAGGATCCAGGCGATCAGGGTTCGATTCCCGGTCAGGGCACATGCCCGGGTTGCTGGCTGCAGCCGATCAATGACTCTCTCATCACTGATGTTTCTGTCTCTCTC